TAGATGGTCCAATCAGAGGTCCATTTCACCCACCTAAGGCAACCTCTTTGTCTTCCTGCTTCCCAGTTCTCTCTTTCCACCCCAGAATCCTCCCTGGTCTTTTGCTGAGCATGAGGATGTTACTTCCCTATTTGCCCATCTCCAGCCCCATGCTCTTGCTCAGGCTTCATGTTATTTAGAGCTTTCTCTGTGATCTCTCCTGGCTCCAGCATTCTAGGAGCACGTAGTCCATACACATGATCAGCAGCTTTAACCACCTTTTCATGCATTCCTGTGTTCTCACACTGCCACCAAATCCTTATGTCCCAGTATAAACTTGCCATGGTAACTTTCAGAATCCTGCTCTGCTTCTGACTTTACCACTTTAGCAGTTCTTCATAGCCTTCTCCTAGCTTCAGCCATGGTCTCTTCCCAGATTCTCACTCATCCCTCTTGGTCTTTGCTGACATTCTCTTATATGTGGAGGAAACCTTTCTTCTCTTAATCCACAAAGTCCTCCCTCATTAACTCTTCCTTCTCTCTACCACAAGCAAAGCATCTGCGCTTTCAGTCAGGGCTAAGCCCTTGACTTTGGTACTCACTTCTATTCTCTAACCTCTACATCAGGACACTACTCTACTAGACACTGGTCACTGGATACTAGCAATCCTTCACTCTCTTGTGTCATCAGTTTTTCCTGACAACTAAATCTTTTCCATCAATATCTGACTTGGTATGTGTCTCACCTTTTACAAAATTCCTCTGTGGATTCCATGTCCCAGCCTTTCTTCATCTTTATAGACCTTATTTTGAACAAACTCCCTGAAGGAATATACTACATTTATTCTTAAAAATGTCTCTCCTTCCACTCTCTCTTAAATACACTCCAATCACATCTTCACTGTTGTTACTCACTTGGATATGTTATTCTTTTTTTTTTTTTTAATTTGAGAGATTTTTGCTATAGAGCACGTGTGCTCACCAGAAAGAGAGAGACAGAAAGTGAGAAATCACCCCCCAGGGGGAATAGCAATACCGGAACCCCTTCTCCTCCATTCTCCTCTCGGGATTTTGAGCACACATGCCCGGTGTGAGTTTAAGTCACTGGGTCTGGGACTCGAACCACGGTCAACTACGTGGGAGTCCAGCTACATAGCCATTACATCAACTGCTGGTCCCAATATGTGATTCCTAAAGTCATAAATGAACTCATTTTGCTAAATCTGAAGGCCAGTTAGCCAAGATAAATCTTACTTGGCCATTTGGTAATGTTTTATGCAGTTGATCACTTTTTCTTTGAAATATTCTCTTGGCAGTATACCACACTCTGATTTTCCTGCCTTTTCAGTTTCCTCTCCTTGCTAGAACATTTTCTTCCCAGTCAATGTTGGAAGGTCTAGACCTAGACCTTAGCTCTCTCCATTTACACTTCCTTGGTGATCTTATCCATTTTGCCTGGCTTTACATCTGCATGCCTGTCTGCCTATCTGTCTATCTGTGTGTGTGTGTGTGTGTGTGTGTGAGTGTGAGTGTGTGTCTGCATACAGATGTATCTGTATTTATATCTACCTATATGCATTATTTGCAGCAAGAATACTCCCTGAGGACTATCAGGCTTCTGTGTTGAAGACAGACTGTTGAGGGTCTGGTCTCAGGAAAAGGAGATTAGATATAATGCTACTGAAGTAATAGGGGTAAGAAGTGGTCATATTCTGGATGGATTTTTGAAGGGAGAGATGACAGAATTTAGTGATGTGTTAGATGCAGGCTGTTAGCAGGAAAAAAAGTCAAGAATGACACCTTTTGCTTGGGCTTGAATAAAGAAAGGTGGAGTTACCACTAACCGATGTGAGAAATGTGTAACTGGGTGGTGGGCAGGGAATCAGGAGTTTATTTTTATACAGTTTGCAATGAATATTGGGCTTCTAAGTATATACGTATACTGGGTAATTTGGGCACATGAGACTATTTACCCCATGAGCTGATGAGCTCTGCTAGGACAAGGCCCGTGTCTTGTTCATTGTCATGTTTGACATAGTACCTGGCACATAGTAAGCAATCAAATACCTTAATTATTGAATGCAAGAAACTTCTCGAGGTATTTTATTGTGACCTTTTCAAAGTCTTCTTTATCTGTTGAGTACTTCCTCCTGAGCCCATACTGCATAGCAGTATAAAATTGCTTTCTCTGCCTTCCTAGCCCAGAACTTAGGATTCAACTAATAATAAGGTATTATTATCCACTAGCCATTCTCCTAGGCCTTGGAGTTTATGAGACATTATTTTAATCATTCAGGCAAATTAAGATTGTAAAAGGGACCAGCAGTTAGCATAATGGCTATGTCGCTGGGCTCCCACGTAGTTGATCGTGGTTCGAGTCCTGGACCTGGTTGCTTAAACTCACGCCGGGCATGTGTGCATGCATGCATGCCCAAGATTCCAAGAGGAGAATGGAGGAGAAGAGATTGCGGCGTGGCCATCCCCCTGCGGGGTGATTTCTCGCTTTCTGTCTCTCTGTCTCTCTCTTGTCTGTCTGGCGAGCGCACACGCCCTATAGCAAAAACCTCTCCAAAAAAAGAAAAAAGAATTAAGATTATAAAACTGAATTACAAAGAGAGTCATTACAAGTAGAAAGAGGGGGTCAGCCTGAGCGTTATCAAGATTAGAACCCACTAATTTCCTGGGGATTGCTCTGGGAGCTTAATCTGAGGGTGATATCGGGTAGCTATGTTGACAGGTGACCCCAAGATGAAAACTATGGCTCTATCCCTAGGAACCTTCTGGTATCCTGTTGAGAATCACCGTCTCTGTCTTGATATGTAGTCTGAGCAAAATGTATAGTGATACTATTCCCTGACACTGGAAAATATTTTGATGCAATGGAGGGCGTTTGAAATTTTTTAATTAATCTGCATTTTCTTTGGAGCAAGATAAAGCTTTTATCCCAGCTGTTGACTGTACAGTTTGTAGCTAGGGGAATGACTGGGTCAGAGAAGTGGCTTTGGGAATCACTAGTACATTAACAGTAATTGAAATCTGGGGACTCAATGTATAATTACCCTCCTTTCCCAGATGAAGACATTAGGGCTCAGAAATATTAACTCATCAAGTGTCAGAGGTAGGATTCTAACCCTGATGATTTTTTCCCACATTTCAAATATTTTTGTGACTTTGGCTTTAAAATCTGAATCCTCTCTAGGGAGTGAGACATTGGCCTGAAGGTCGTAAAAACACTTGGTTTTGTAATATTTTCTTTGTGTTGTAGTTTTTGCTGCCATTTATTCATGTTTATCATCTTTGCCTGACATCATTCTCTAGCCACTTTGGCCAGAAGTTTCCTTCCAATGGGAAGATGGCCTAGATCTTTTACTCATATTTAGTCTTCTATTGAGTGGAGCAAGCATAACTGTTCTGCCTGCTCTCTTTAAGATGTCAGGGGTTCCAGTTTTCCTTCCAGGGAGATCAGCGCTTACCCCAACCCAGATAACCGGAGAATTACAGAGTCCTCTTAGGCCTCCCCAAAGAGATTTAAAAGAATATGAGTATAATGACCACCATTAAGAGGTCTTACTATGTGGCCGCAATTTCTAAGATTGCTTTTGATGGTTGATCACCCACCCAATGATCGTACTGGTGGTGGAGTGGGAACATAGGCTGGACTGGACAAGTAAGAGAAGGGAACTCTGGCCATGTCTCAGTATAACACGCTATTCAAGAGGCCTACTAAGACAGGTTTTTAGGAGGGATTTCATTCAGTCTGAAAGAGAATGTGAACAGGATATAGTTTGGAGGAACTTACATTTCTTAGTAGTTGCTTATAGATTTTAGATAGCCTCTCAGCTTCCTTCTTGGGCTTCTCCATCTTTATTAACAATAAACAGATATTCCCCTGAAATGGTAAAATACTGGACATTCCTATAGAGAAACAAAGGAGCCAGAATTCCACCTTAATTATGACCAGCTGATCAAATTATGAGAGACTCAGGTTGGCATTTATTCTAAGATTTTTTTTCCAATCACTTTCTGTGGCTAGTTAATACATAGGATACTTTTCAAAACCCTAAAGTTTCCTTTTAACAGTTCAGGTGAGTAATTTTTGGTATTTTCTGAAATGCAGTGGGACATAATGAAGAAATGAAGGAAAATAGGAACTAAGAAGTGGACCTGCCGGGTTTATGTGGTGCACCCTTTGGTGGGGGAAAGTACAGGAGTCATTTTCTGAGAGGAAGACATTAGGAAGACTCTGGGTGGGGATTCAGCTGACTGAGTTCAGCCCCATTACTAACCATGAAAATATAGCCAGGAAGCAAGGATGGTAGAAGGAAGGTGGTGGGAAAGATACCAGTCTTTGGTACTGTAGAGAGAGGATGCATAGTAGGGCTAGGTGTGACCCCTGGCAATCACCTGTTAGGCTCAAATATATTAGAAAAACACTGTGTGTTTGTAGTTCTTTTCCAGAAACTTCAATGCCCAACTCACTGCCTTTTATCACACAAGGGCAAGTAGACCCAAGTTCACACAACACACTTCACTCCTAAGGTAGATTTCTCTGTTATCATACTCTGGTCTCAGAAATGTCAGTTCTTGTCCCAGATACTCAGATCTATAACTACATGTTCCTCCCCCCTACCCACCTCCTGGAGGTGGAAGGATAAATCTCTCTCCAGTTCCTTCTGTGCTCTTCATTCCAGGAGACTGCATTCTAGCAACTGCATTCCATGCAGCTGAAAGGCAGTGGAGGTGAGAGACAGGCAACAGGATTACAATGGGCTCCCATTTGTGTTTTTACAAAAGATCTTTCCAGTAGCCCCAGGAAGCGGGTGAGTCTGTCATAATTGTTGTGCACTATTGATAAATACAAAATCACCTCAAGGACAAACTGTTGTAACACTACTCTAGAATGATCGAATTGAATTATGGGTTACAGTTCCTTCCCTAGATGAGAAAGACCTTTCAACCTCCCTCATGCCTTCCCTTAGTACAGAGGATATAAGGAGCAGACAGATAACTCTTTGCTTAGAGATATGGAGTAGTATATTTTGGGTGGCGCTCTGCTGTACCTGTACATTAATGGAAATTACAGTAACAGTCTTCTTCCAGGAATGTAGGAGTTGGGGAGCCTATAGACTTTTCTCATTGTCCTGGATAGTCTCCTTGACTAGACCAGTGTTTTGCCCTGAGGTAAGGGTTGGGAGCTAGGGTGGATTCCCTGTTTGGGTGGCACAAGCCCCTTGAGGACGATGCCGAGGGACATGGCAGGAGTGGCCTGGGATTGAGGCAGAATCATGATGTCTGGAGCGTAACTGCAGCTTATTATTTGGGGAACCATTCAGAAAGGCTGAACCTGCTAATTTTTCAGTGGGGGAAGATTGGGTATTCCGGTTCCTTGATGTCTTCTCTGTCTTGATTCTCTTCAAAGGACCTTTGACTGGAGTCAGCCTTTTTTTAGCATTTTCATTTCTGGTTTTGGCCACTTTCTCATGTGTAGAGAGCATGGATTCTACACAGATGCCACCTTTTGTCTTGGAATTAAAACAATATAGAAAGGATTTCATTTTATTTATCAAGCCGGATTCTGGAAGGCTGGACTTCTGGTAAGTATGGGCTAGCAACCCTGAGTCCTGCAAAACCTGACCTTGCAAAGTTTGACCCAGCAAAGGCTTACCCTGAATTAGTTGACCCAGAAAAGACTTGCCCTGTGAAACTTGGGGCACCACAGGCTGGGCATGGTTAGGAATCCTTGCAGGTTTGAGGATAACATTTGGCTTGGTTTGACTGGCTTGCAGAATTTTTTCAGATTCTTTTTTCCCAGGAACTCCTGAGAGTTGCCCAGACAGCTTAAACTGAGGACGATACTGGGGCCTATGTTGACCAGGATCAGCAAGACGAAAGCTACGACTCCATCGCCAGGAGCCTTGGGGTATTCTATTGAGAAGCACCCCTACTGGAACATGGTCTTCCTCAGCGTGTGGTTCTTCTGTGGCTGAAGAGAGCCCAAGCCCTGCATCTCCTTCACCATGGTCCCCACCTGTTTTGGGCTTCCCTGGGTCCTCTCTCATTTCTGCCAGTGTAAGGACTTGGGCTGAGTCCTTGCTCTTGCCTGGGCTTTGGGGCTCAGGAGTCCAGAGTTCTTCCACACTGGCGTTCTTCACACTGGACTCCACCTGAACACAAAGGACATGGGTGTCTATCATATCCCCAGTGGGTTGAGAGATCTTGGAGGCCCACTGAGCAGAGCCACAGGGCACTGTTTTAGAAACAGGTTGATTTTGATTCTGCTTCACTGCCTTCAACTCAGTGGCCAGCTGTTCTTTACAGTGGATCCACTCTGGATCTGTGGCATGAGATGTGTCTAATCCAATGGGCAGTTCTTGGAGCAGTGGATTTTCCTGGTTGTTTAGACCCCCAAGGGACTCTTGTGTGGATATGTTCTCTGGGACTGCTGCAGTTTGTTCCATGGACTCCCGTGCCCTTATGGGAATTCCCAGTTGTATCTCTAAGCCTTTTTTTCTCAGGTGAAAATTGAGCTTGATCAAGATATGTGTACTGAATGAGCGGGGTCTGACAGGATGTATGTAGCTTTCTAGAAGCACTGTCTCCATTGTTCCATCCACCTGCACATCATGCTGGACATCTTCTGTAATGTCTGTACAAGTCTCATCATCCTGAAGGCATGGCCCAGGACTCTTACACTGTTCTTCAGATGGGATCATCTGAGTCGGGGGCTGTGCTGAGATTTCGATAGGCCCAGGCCCAGGTACCCTCTCTGCGTTTACTGACTGGCTGTTGCTTGCCGGGGCCACAGCTCTGGAGAGAGCCACATAGTAGAGAGAAGGCAGCCCTGACAGAAAGGCCAGATACTTGTGCCGTAGAGTCGTCTCCAGTTTCTCAATGGCTCCTTCAGACAGGGGTTGGGTCAGCTTAGGATGTTCAGCAGCAGCACTTGGTAAGGCCTGCTGCTGCAGATCAGGGGCCATGGGCTTCCAGGGCATAACTTGATGATGTAGGTCAGGGTCACTTGCTGCTTGCAGTTCCAGGGGCTGGCTTTCTGGAATGCAGAAGAGGGGAGCCATTGCCAGGTTCCCAGTAATTCTGTGGTCCCAGGAGCTGTATACCTGGGCAGGGATCTTGCCCTGGAGGATCTGTCCACATTTGGAGTCAATGTGGCTCTTCAATATTGCCTTTGCTTGGGCAAAAAAGCACGGCATGGGGATCAACACTGGGGCCACAATTGGTGAGAGCAGGTCCCCGGCCTCACTGGCCTGTAGAGCTGTAGAAGGAGCGACGCTCATACTGGTGAGGGCTGTGCTGCCCCAGGACAGGGTCTGCTGGTCATTGGAGGAGAGGAGCAGCTGGATGGACTGCTGGATCTTCTGGGGCAAGCCCCAGCGATGGTGAATCAACTGCTTCTGGAGGTGGAATTCTAGCAGCCTACGGGCAGGCTCAGGGAAGAAGAGTAGTTTCCTGGTGAGGACTGAGCTGGGCTTCCCTGGCCAGGAAGTCTCCACAGTCTCAGGAGCCTGAGCTTTGTCACAGGGTTCATTCTGCATGGGGCTCTGGGCATGCTGCCTTCTGCGGAAGACATCCGGCAAACCCGACTGCAGCTGGAGCTGCCTCTGCAGCAGGTGCCACTCCAAGGCTTCACACTCAGCCAGCGTCAGAAATGGGACATTGATCTGAACTTGTTGATGATCAGATGAAGACAGCCAATTTGGGGGAAGTGGAAAAGAGGGTGGGGCTGACTGGAGTGGGGTTTTAGGCAGCAGGGGGAGGAAGGAGACCTCCTTAAAGAGAAAGGGATCCTTTAAGAGTGGTTTGTATGGGCTCTCATTCTGAGAAACGCCTTGAGGACCCAAGAAAGTGGTGACAAGGGACTCACTGTGCAGAGAAGGGAGGCCACAGAACAGCTGGCTGCATTTCTGCTGCAGGTGGATCCCCGACTCATTAACCTGTTCTTGAGGCAGTGAATAGGGGCCATCTGAGACTTCATGGACTGGAGAGGGCAAGGCTAGAGCCATAGGGTTCAGAACTTTCTGGCTGTGGTGCCTTTGTTGTGGGTCTGTAATGGACCATTCAGAAACCCAAAAGATCTGGGTAGGCTGACCAGCCATACATGAACACCAGGTCTGGTGGGAAACAGTCCCAAATCTATGAACTGGTACTTGAGAAGTATTATTCATGAAGAAACACAGTGGTTGGTTATTTCTAGGGTGATAATTCAATGGTGGGTTTGGCATATGCTGTCTCAGGGACTCCTCCACGCGCCTCGGGAGCCCCCATCTCTGGAAATGCATCCATTTTTTAACATGTACCTCAAGAAGCCTCAGGACTTCAGGACTGAGGAATGGCAGGTGGGCAGGGTACTCCATATGCAAGACCATGGGATGTGTCAGGTCAGTGATCTCTTGGTTCAAGGACAGCAAAGAGACCTGGGAGTTCATGGACTGCTCGCCCTGGTTCCCCTCAAAAAGGTTAAGGCTGCTCTGTATCATCTCCTGCTGGTTCATTGGAACCATAGGCTCCTCAAATCTTGAAGGAACCATAGTCGCAGGGCAAATGGGCACAGCTGGTATTAGATATGCCTCCTCTAGTTGTTCCTCCCAGTAATGTTGGATGCGGACTGCCTTGGTTGACTGGTCAGCTGACTGGGTTAAAGTTTTCTGATCCATATATTGTGCCAGTGTAGGGGTTACAGACGCCGGTGAATGTTCTCTGGGGTGCTGGGAACAAACCTCCAGACTGTCCTCAAAAGACACACCTGACACAGACAGTATCTCTAGACAAGAAGATCCTCTGGACAAAGTGGTGGGCACCTGGTTGTCTTCACCCACCAGCAATTGCTGAATCTCCTGAGTCACAGCATTGCAGGTTTGGCAGCAGGGATCGGCACATAGGAGCCGCCGCACACTTTCCTCCTGAGGAAGCCAGCGCTGACTAGAATACAAATATGGCAACTGTTAATAATAGTGTCACCTGACTCCTTGGAAGAGTGTAACTTAAAGATTGGTACTGTCCTCCCCTATTCCTGCAAGTTCTGAGCTCTACATCCTATGAGTGTCTACCCTATACTTTTCTTGCTAAGAAAATGGCATTTAGTAAGGTATGAAATGCTAGACTGGGAGTCTAGGGCTTGTTGGCAAGGTCTCAGACAACCCATGGAAGGATATGGCTGTCAGGGAGGACAGAAAGCTGGAGTTAGTTGAGCTTGTGAGGAAGCTGAACAAGGAAAAAGGACTTGGGCAGGTAGAGAGTTTAGGGGTTAGGTGATATGGCATCACCAAGAATATCACCAGGTAGGAACTGGATTAGTCTCATTTGGAGTTAAGAAAGCCAAAGTATAGTATTCAGTACACCCAAACCGAAAAATGAAGTCCTTGTGAGAACTCTACACTCTAAGGACTCTGGGATGTTCCTGTCACTGTTCCCAGCTTCCACTAGGAATCAGTCTCATTTTTTAGAAATTTTTAAAATTCATGATAGAGCACATGCATGGGGGGTGGGGAGAGAGATAAGAGTACCCTCCACAGGGTCTTGCCACACCATTGTTCCATTCTTCTAGTTCTCCAGCCCAATGGGTCTTGGACTCTCGCATGCATGTCCGTCATGTTATAGGCTTACCAGGCCAACAAGTCAACTTCAGCTGCCATGTGGGATCCAACTTCTCTTGAGAAGCACATTAGTGATGAGCCCCAGAGTCAGCCCCCATTCTCTAGAAATCTTAAAATGATAGGTTTATATCTAAGGACTCTCCTCAGAACTGGCTTTCTGAAGACATAACCAGAGGAGGTAATGTCAGCAGGGTCTAGCCAGACGTAGTAGAATTTGTACATGAAAGGGAGTAGCTATAAAGAGAACACAACAGTGATGACCTCTTTATGTAAAATCCATTCTCTTGACTGAAGAACTTGTCTCACGGCTGAGTGCATCTCCATGTTGAATCATTTATGAATTATGCACTAGTCAAATCCAGAATTCTAGAACCCTAGCCCAGCATAAAACTGGGTGACTCTTCCCTCCTGAAATGTCTGAACCCCATGCCTGCCCTGGTAATCCTTTCAACTGGTGAACCAGCCTGCACAGTGTATGTCTCCCTCTGAGCTGCAATCATCCCTCTTTTCATCCTTGCCCTAGGTGAAACCTAGATATGATCACAGGCAAAGTTGGGAGTTAAGAGACTGCAAAATACAAGAAATCACCTTTTCATGACAGAGATCAGTTCCCATGGCTTCTCAGCTTCTTCCTGGGAAAGTCTCCTAGCTGTGGAATCAGGAGACAGTGTTACATGGCACAGAAGAATTTCAGAGGCATCCTATAAGAAGGTAGAGATCTTTGATTCTCAGTAAGAAGGAACTGAAAATGCCAACTGTCTATACTCTGTGCATTTCTATGTACGATATGTACAATCTTTATGACTTGTTTCCAGTATCTATTCTTACTTGATCTTCACAACCGTACTATAAGTGAGTGGACCATCAGATGCCCATTTTAAGGAGAACAAGACTGAGAGATGAAGTGACCTCCACAGTACTGTAAAACTGGTAAATGGCACAGTTAACAGCATTTCCCTGCTTCCTCGGCTCTTTAGTCCAAGGGGAATAAGTTAGAAAATATTGAAATATTTCTAAATTCTGATTTCCCACCCATAGAAGTCTTTTATAAAAACTGTTCCTCTAAGGAATTTGAACTGTCAGTGTTTAGAGCAGCTAGATACTAGGGGTCATATAGAGATAGGATTCATGGGACCCTCCCCCACAGTGAAAGGGAGTCAGAAGAGATTGGGACTTTACCTCTTGATGCTGCATCTCTAGCCCTTTGCCTCACTTTTTGGTGACGCTTGAAGACAAAAACATTAGAATGTAAAGCTGGGATGTCATTTTCTTTTCCACATTGAAAAGGAATCAAAGTTCATGGATATTTTTCAATCCATTCCTATATATCTTTCTCTGTGAATTTTACACACTAGCCTACCTTTTCTTTACCTAATCCACCATTTTTAAAAAGAATTATTTTTTTCAGTTTTATTAATTATTATTATTATTATTTTTAATTGACCAGAGAGAGACAAAGGTGGAGGGAAGTGAAAAAGCAAGCAACCAGACCCAGGACTTGAACTACAGTTAGCCATGTGGAAGTCCAGTGCCTTAACTGCCACACCACCTACCAACCACAATCCATCATTTTTTAAATTTAACTTTATTTATTTAGTCATTTATTTTATTTTAATTTGACCAGAGAGGAGAAGGATGAGAGAGAGAGAGAGAAAGCAAGCTGCAAGGGCCAGGACTCAAACTGCGGTCAGCCATGTGGGAGTCCAGCACCTTTAACTACTATGCCACCTGCTGGCCCTGAATCCATCATTTTTTTAAAAAACCCAACATTTCTTTTTTTTTTTTAGAATTATTTTATTTAGCTTTATGTATGTGTATATATATATATATATTAACTTGACCAGAGAGAGACAGACAGAGGGAAAGAAAAAAGAGAGAGAGAAAGCAAGCTACCAGGTGCAGGACTTGAACCACAGTCAGCCATGTTGGAATCCAGCGCCCTCAACCACTATGCCACTTGCTAGACTCTAAACCCTAACATTTCTATTCTCTGCTTCTGGTTCACTTTGAGTCTTTTCCAAACTCTATACTTCCCATCCAGTTTCCAGGAATTCTGCTAGAGACTGAGGATGAAACAAGAAAAAATGAGACAGATTACCTAAATGTCCACAAATAGATGAATGGATTGAAAAAGTGTGGCACATATACACTGTAGAATACTACTCAGTCATAAAAAACAATGTGAGACCCTAGCATTTGATAGAAAGTGGACAAATATGTAAGATATACTGCTAAGTGAAGCAAGCCAGACTATAAAAGAGAGGCATTGTATGTCCCCACTTAATATACACCAAATGCCTGAACTCTATGGCAGAAACGGAAATACTGGACAGTATAAAGGCATGGAAAGCAACTGTGGATACAAAAGACAGGGATAGGGGAGGAGGGTGGGAAATGGTGCAGGGTGAGAGGGAGGGAATCAAGGGAAAAAAATAAGTTAGTAAAACATTTAACAAACACAAAATGGAAAATTATCTGTTGAAGATAATATGTATGGTCATATCTTGGATTGAGTCAATATATGGTATATTCTGGATGAGATGCTGTAATGATATCCAATGAATGAATGAATGTAAAATAAATAAATAAATAATTTTAAAATATATTTGATTCTAATAGTCAAATGACTTCAGCTTACACATGCTTTAAAGGACCCAAACCAGAAAAATCCCTGATATTGGGAAGTCATCTGAGAATCAAGGCAATAGATTCTGTCTCATCAAATTCTCTGCTCAAGCCAAATACAGAGATTCTTGATTTTCAATTAAATAATGCTACAGGGAAGGCCTGGTACTGAATTACTTCTAGGCTCTGAGAAGAAAAAGACTATGTAAAATTAAAGGTAAAAATTGGCAAAGATGTCAGTGAAATCATAAGGGAAGGCTTTGAAGCTTAAAAGCTTTTTGTCTGAGACTTAATTAGTTCAATTATGGTTATAATGTCTCCCTACCCGGCAGCAGCACCTTTCATGTTCCAAAGTCAATCTGTGATAACTCTTTCTCACTTGCCAGATGATTAGGAGAATGATGAAGATGGAACCATAGGTATATAAGCAATATCCAATGTCCCACAGAACAAAAGTAAGGCTCAACATGACCTAAACCTCCTTAGCATGAGGAGACCAGCCATTTCTATATCTACCTATTCAGGGTGTGGTGCCTAATGACTCCAGTGCTAGCCTTTGTCATGTCCACCTCACAGAGGATGGAACCAAGCCATCAGACTGCATCACAAAGCTCTCCTGACTCATAAGCAGGGAAGCTTATGTATGACTCAGTCTACAGATGAGGGAGTCTGGTTATCTGTAAAGGTTATGGAGCCTGGAACTTACAGTGCTTTACTCACAAAGCAGTACCTATTTTCTACTTCCCCTTCACTCTCCATCCCTTCCACCAGCCATGATGATTACAGTGGCTGGATCACACATGGTTGACCTTGTGGTTTGAGTCCCCAACCTGAAAAATATGCCGGGCAGGTGTGTGTACATGCCTAAAATCCTGAAAGGAGAAGTAGAGAAAAGATTGCAGCGTGACCATTCCCCATGGGCAGGGGTGCTTTCTCTCTCTCCTTTCTTCTCTCTCTTCCTCTCTCCAGCAAGTGTATTTGCCCTCTTGCAAAAATAAAAATAAAATAAAACTTGTCTTATTTCCTATCTTAGTCACAAACTAGCTGTTGCTTATGATTGGACCTGTTTATTTCTGGGTAGAAGCTGTTTGCCTATAGGACTTTTGTTTGTTTGACCTGGATTTGGAAAACCTTTAAAGCAGAGCAGTGTTCCAGTTCAGGCTTTAGACTCAACACTCCTGTGCTCTGACCATTAATTTTTTTTTTCTTTTCAGAGGGATTTTTTGCTATAGGGCACATGCACTCACTAGAGACACACAGAGAGGAGAGAGAAAGTGAGAAATCACTCCCCTCCAAGGGGGATGGCCACACAGTAATCCCTTCTCCTCCAAGCTCCTCTCAGGATTTTGGGCACACACACAGACACACCCAGTGTGAGCTTTAAGCCATCAGGTCTGGGACTTGAACCGTGGTCGACTACGTGGGAGTCCAGGGATGAAACTATTATACCATCTGCTGGTGGTCCCTTGCCCATTAATTTACACATGTATGTTACCTGCTTGACTTCCACAGGTATTGTGATATTTTGCTAAACTGCTGGACGCTGAATATCTTTGAGAAGGTTTTGCCCTGGTATGGTCTCAGAGCCAAAAAACATCCTTGACTCAGAAGAGAGGATCAGCAGATGGCATAATGGTTACATACAACCATAATGGTTTGACTCCCAGACCTGGTGGCTTAAAACTCATGCCGGACACATGTGCGTGCATGCCCAAGATCCCAAGAGGAGAATGGAGGAGAAAGGATTGCAGCATGGCTACCCCCCCACCCCCCAGGGGTGATTTCTCACTTTCTGTCTCTCTGTCTCTCAGGTGAGCACATATGCCCTATAGCAAAAATCTCTAATAAAACAAAATTCTCAGAAGAGTTTATTTGTTCCCTCCTGTAGCATCCAGCCTTCCACTCCACTGGTGTGGTAGGCACTTAATGTGCTGATCCCTAAGCTTGGTGGTATCAAGGGTGCAAAGACATTTGAGGCATGTTGCCTGCCTGCTCGCAATACACTTAAAAATCTAGTTTAAAAGACAAGACTGGGGCCAGCAGGTGGCATGATGGCTAAGGGTGCTGGACTCCCACATGCCCAACTGTTGTTCACGTCCCGGACCTGGTGGCTTGCTTTCTCACTTTCTCTGTCTCTCTCTGGTCAAATTAAAATAAATAGATGCTACATTGAACTCCATAGAGACAGTGCTGGGGCAAGTGAGAGCCAGACGGGCACTGGGCGACTCTGTGCCTCGCGGAGGAAAGATAACTAAACATGGGCAAAGGAGATCCTAAGAAGCCAACAGGCAAAATGTCATCATGTGCATTCTTTGTGCAAACTTGCCGGGAGGAGCACAAGAAGATGCTTCAGTCAACTTCTCAGAGTTTTCTAAGAAGTGCTCAGAGAGGTGGAAGACCATGTCTCCTAATAGAAAGGAAAGTTTGAAGATATGGCAAAGGTGGACAAGGCCCATTATGAAAGAGAAATGAAAACCTATATCCCTCCTAACAGGGAAACAAAAAAGAAGTTCAAGGATCCCAATGCACCCAAGAGGCCTCCTTCGGCCTTTTTCTTGCTCTTTTCTGAGTATCACCTAAAAATCAAAGGAGAACATCTGGCCTGTCCATTGGTGATGTTGCAAAGAAACTGGGAGAGGTGTGGAGTAACACTGCTGCAGATGGTAAACAGCCTTATGAAAAGAAGGCTGCTGAGCTGAAGGAAAAATACGAAAAGGATATTGCTGCATACCGAGCTAAAGGAACTCGTGATGCAGCAAAAAAGGGGGCTGTCAAGGCTGAAAAGAGCAAGAAAAAGGAGGAAAAAGATGAGGAAAGTGAAAAAAGATGAGGAAGAAGAGGAAGAGGATAAAGATGAAGAAAATGATGAAGATGAATAAGTTGGTTCTAGTGCAGTTTTTTTCCTTGTCTATAAAGCATCTAACCCCCCTGTACACAACTCACTCCTGTTAAAGAAAAAAATTGAAATGTAAAATAAATAAAGCTAAATAAAATAAGATTTTTTGGAGAAAGTTTTGCTATAGGGCTTGTGTGCTCTCCAGAATGACAGAGAGAGACAGAGAGATGGAAAGCGAGAAATTACTCCCCAGGGGGGATGGTCATGCCGCAATCCCTTCTCCTCCATTCTCCTCTCGGGATCTTGGGCATGCATGCACACGTGCCCAGCATGAATTTAAGCCACCGGGTCTGGGACTCAAAGCATGGTCGACTACATGGGAGTCCAGCAACATAGCCATTACGTCAACTGCTCGTCCCGAATAAAATAATTTTATAAAAATGACATGATTAATTCACATGATTCAAGAACCAATTTTTAATTTTTTTTTCCCATAGGAAAGAAATTTCTTTTCTTTTTTTCACTTTTTCTTCCTTTCTTTTTCTTTGCCATAGGGTGCATGTGCTTGCCAGGGAGAGAGAGAAACAAAGACAGAAACAGTGAGAGGGAAAGTGAGAAGTCATCCCCCCACATAGCTGATCTCTCCTCCTCTATTCTCCTTTTGGGATCTTGGGCATGCACACATATGTGCCTGGCGTGGTTTTCAAGACCCCAGGTCTGGGACTTGAACCATGGTCAGCAATATGGGAGTCCAACAATGTAACTATTATGCCATCTGCTGGCCCCAAGAGAATTTTATTTTTAAAAGTTCTATCTTCTTCTTATTGTTATTATTACTAATTTTTAGAGGCTTTTGCTATAAGGTGCATGCACTTGCCAGAAAGACAGAGACAGAGAGACAGAAAGTGAGAAATCATTCCCCAGGGGGGATGTCAACGCTGCAATCCCTTCTCCTCCATTCTCCTCTCAGGATCTTGAGCACACATGCACACGCGCCTGGCGTGAGTTTAAGCCACCGGACTCAAACAGCAGTCAACTACATGGGAGTCCAGTGACATAGTCATTACACCAACAGCAGTTGGTCCCAAAAGTGCTATCTTAAACTGCAAGGATGTTCATTAAACATCACAATTAAACATGCCAGAAGAGAAGCCATATTGTCAAAATGTCCAATTAACCCACTCAGACTTCTTAAACCCACTCTTTGCTGACTTGTAACCATGTTTTTTTTTTTTCTTTCTTTTATTATTTTTTAACAAGAGAAAGTAGACAGATACATGTTGGTAAATGCTAACCGCCCATAATCACACAGAGATACAGTGTAATCTCTGGGCCCTATAGACAGAGAAAGGAGGAAAAAGCTAGAATTCTATTTACTACTACACAGGGCCTTGCACCCTCCAGCTTCCAGCAGAGCAAAAGGAATAGGCTTTTCTTTTTTCCCACAGAGCACAGTGGTATTGATTCCAAATAGTTTTTTTTTTTTTTTGAGAGGTTTTTCACTATAGGGTGCGTGCGCTTGCCAGACAGACAGAGAGACATAGAGACAGAAAGCGAGAAATCACCCCCCAGGGGGGATGGTCACGCC